ATAATACAGTATTTTCTACTTTATGAGTACTTAAGTAGAAAAAATAAAAAATTTTCTGTATTTTAATGAGTTAAAGCAAGCGTGGGTGCAACTGTCATTAAAAAAGTATTAATTCTAATGTATCATACTTTTGGAAATCTAAGAAATTAACGAATATTTGTTCTTAATCTTGAAAAGCTAAAGCCTACAAGATTTAAAGTTTTAAAAGACTTTTTTGCATTTTCACAAGGTTGTAGTTAAGTAAGAAAAATAATAAAACAAATAATAGAAGAGTAAATCCTAATATGCAGGAGCTTTCACATACCATTATAGAGGTAATTAAGACTAAGAATTCTTAAGATATTGTTAAAGCCTTTAGTTACCAGTTAAGTTTTCAAATTTATGGCCAGAACAGAACAATTTTTCTTTTAATGCTTCATATAGATAAAAAAAATTTCCATGACCCTAATAGTAACATTAATTACCTATTTTTTAAACAAAAAAAGGTCCCAGTAAAGGCCTTACTGAAGTCACCCTCTTTAATTCTTGTTGTGTATGATATTTTATGAACACAACAGTTTCTTGAGCTGGAACATAGAATGCTTTTACATAATTTTTCTAGCTGGGAATTCTTATAATTTGAAAATAATCAGATGTGTACTTATTATTAAGAGATTAGTGATGTACTTATTACAAAAACATATACACATACAAATCCATACGAACTTCTAGAAGAAGTTCAGGGATTCTCATGAAGATGGAGTGCGGTTGAAAACCGTTGTTGTAAATAAATGAATCAATGAGACTAAATTACAATTGTAATAAAACGCTCCGCTTAAAAAAAATCCAATCAACTAAGAATTCGTGAAACTTTACGCTGACCGCTCAGCCATGACTACCACCGAGAGTGGCTGTATTATTTGCACTTTTAGATGCACTATTATATCGTCAGTTGTATGCCAGTATGCCAAGATATGGGCGCTGACTTGTTTAAGCTAAGCCACGTCTTTAACAACAGCTATTAGAAAAAATTTAAAAAAGCAGCGTCTTTAATGCTGCAATTGAGAAGCTATATTCTCTAAAATTTTGGTATGAAAATTATGAACACACTTTTCTAAAAAGGAAGAGATCTAACTTCGTATTTAAGTGAGTAGTTATTTTTTTTTAAGAACAACTACCAATTTTTTAACGTAATAGTTAATTCAGGTAAAAAACAGATACACTTACGTACTCATATATTATGAAAAAAGTTAAGATGCTTCTAAACACTAACTTATTATTGTATTTGAGATGTCTCTTGTATACACTTATTGACTTTTATTTTCTTACTTTTCAAATATGTAACACCTAACCCTCATCTCTGATACTTCATTTTTTAGGAACTGTATTCTAGCTAATTGGTATATGTTTCTGTATATTTGTGATAATGACTTTTATTTGGTGTCTGTATTCTGCCATATTTTGTAGATTATTAACAATAAAATATCTATAGATCTATAAACGTCAGTTGTTTTTGCATTTTAGATTTTTATGTCTCAACTACTGTAGTGTTGACTTATCTTACTGTACTACTGTGACCATAAGTTCTTTTAGAACAGGATATAATGTTTCAAAGCAAATGTTTCGAAAAAAATATAAAAGCAAAAAATTATATTTCAAATTCCATATTTTTTTATAATTTGGCTACTTTTAAGAAAAAAAGAACCCTTTATTTTTAGGCTTATTACCCCTTTATACGCTTTACGTACCAACTCTCGCTCAAGTTTTCAATTTACAAATTTTTTTAGAAATTCAAATACTTTGCTACTACAAAATATGTAGTATAAATTGAAATTTGTAAAATAGTGTTGTGATTTAGCTCAAATAGTAGAATATTTCAACGATTTTATACACTACAGTGTGTCATTTTTTTGTGTGCTTAGTGTATCAAATTATTTTTTTACATCTTTTAAAAATAAAAATAACTTTTTACTAACATGTTGCATGGGCTCAAAATCCAGTTTTTAAAATAGTATAATAGTATAAATTATAAACTTTTAACGTTGACAAAAATATAAAAGCTAACGATAAGTGAGCGAAGTAAGTCATAAAGAGCTTGTATAAATTTGTTAAAAAAAGCAAATAAATAACAACAGAGTAAAAGCCCATTGATTGTTTAACTAGACAAAAAAATGTCTGTATTAAACATTTTGTGAACTTTTTTAGAGGCCTTTTTAAAAAACAGAATGGCTTATATTTGTTACCGTGGTAATGAGATCTCGGTATGCGTTAACAAGTAGGCGGTTTTCTTACTTAAAAATGTTTGATTTTTGTAGTAAAAGTTTTGCTTTTGCATTGTGAGCATGTTTTAACTGTGTGTGGTAAACTTTTATTTGAATGTCTTATTATTATTTGATTTCCTGCTATTTCTGAGTCAAAAAGTAGGCACACCAGACTAGTGAACCAATTCCAATAATACAGTAACTTAACAAATTAACTCTCTTATATAATGATTTTTATCACTTCTTTAAATAATAACGTTTACTCATTTAAATGTATCCAATTAAAAATACTTATTTCATGTAAAATAATATTTATTAGTAGCTCTTTCTGCTGTTGCTACAAATAAGTCATTTTGAAAATTGACTTTGGTATCAAATGCGATGAAGTATATTTCCAACATAAATTAATATTATACTATTTTAAGTCATACAGCTCTCAGACAGTAATATGAATTTGGAAACCTTACCCTACATTTCAAATACATGTAACCCCGCAATTCACATGGTAATTTATTCTGCAATAGCAATACATCAATAATCAAGTAAATAAATTAGTTCGAGAAACAAGAAAAAGTCGTTTAAGTAGCTTCAAAAGATAATTAACTGATTTACTGTAATTGTAAATTGAGTGAATTAAAAAATAATTAAAGTAATGTTAATAAGAGCTAACTACGAAAATAGTATCAGCATGATAGTACGTGATACAAGAAATTAATTGTGGTAGAAATCATCCGTAAAGCCAATTCACATGATGAACCATTTGTTGTACACGTAGAAGAACTTACACAATGTTTTGGGGGTATGTGACGTGTAGGTTGAAAAAAAATTTGTGTTATAAAAAGAGAAATAAATGGGATAAACCTCATCAACAAAATTAGTTAACTTACTTGGTCTACGTCTGACGGGGTGATGTTTCATTTTAAGTCAAAAATACTAGATTTGGTACAAATTCTGATGCCTAAGGCTCGTTTGAATACCTGCGTACGTATGTTTGTGTATTCACTATATTTTATGATAGGGTAGAGAAGAAAAATATAGAGAAATACAGCCAGTGAGCCAAGCAAAGAAAAGAGTTAGAGTAAAAAGCGTGAGAATAACAGACAAATGTGTTTTAAAGAACTCTAAGTGATGATATTACAATTGTGCGTGTGGGTACATGTGTATATTTTAGTGTGATTCAGTAGGAAAATAGGAATGTATGTATTGTCAACTTTCGTGATTATCGAAATTATTAGTTGTATTTTTCAGTGTCTTCTCTTGAAAATCGTATTGCTTCAAGAAAGAGGAGTGTGAGTGAGTATATACATGGAGTTGAGGGAAAGATAAACAGTGTGTGAGACAGATTGTATGAGAGGAGTAAAAGTAAAGTAAAAGAAAAAGGAGATTTCAAGAGAGTAAGCCACAAGCTGTGAGACTTAGAGGCCTCCTTGACAGGCCTTTGAAAAGAAAGGATATAGAGCGTGTGCGCCATCGAGGCGTCGTCCAACCTTCGTCCATTCACCAGCTCCTGGTGATCTACAAAAGGCATCATCTCCAGCCTGGCTGAAGACTATGCAGTCACCAGAGGCCTGAGGGCAGGAATCGACATCACGGGAAGACTATGCCAAGATCCACCGTGGAGATGGTTTGTCTGGAGGTATATTAGCTTGAGGTTAGGTAAGGTAAGCCATGGGTAGAAAAGTGTTGGAGAGAGACACCGTATATAGCGCCAGAGTGAGATTATTCCTGTATCGGCTTTGCGTAGAGAACAAGGGTGAAAAGCGAGCGTGAAGATGACCGTGTGTGATTGAGGCATGTGTAAATTTTCTTGGCATGTCGTGGTTGAAGGTGTTGCATTGTGGCCAAGTATAATCGTAATCGAGTCAGATTGTCGTAATCTCGGAGTTGAAGAGTTTACATAGTAGAAGCAGAGCTGAGCCAAGCAGCAATGTTAAAAAGTACAGTAGAAGGTGTGTTGAGTCAGATTATTTCGGCGTTTTAGGTATTGTAGGGGTTCGGAGGCGATTTCAGTCCGTTGCATCGTGAAAACGTTGAAAAGACTGGTAAAATGCAATGTTATATATGAAAGAGAAAGTTTAAGATTTAAGTTCAGATTTGGAAAATTTTTTGTCATCCTTAGAAAATTATTTTCACAGCCTATTCATTATGCAAAAAAAAAGAAAATGATGAGGTGGCTGAAAAGTATGTCTTTTATAAAACAATGAAATTGATATGAAGGCCTTGGTAGTGCCTAATTTCACAAGCTCCATATATAAAGTGGACAGATTTTGATTGGTCCTAGGAAATGGTGAGGCACTTTATTTACCGTTTTTAAACAGTATATCTACGACTTGTGAGTCATGTAAAAAAAAAAAATTAAATTGAGTTAAAAAGTCTAAAACCTAACCATACTGTTCCCAAGGGTCTAAACATAAAGGCAGTATGTTAATACAGTTTTTAAGAAGTTCAATTGATGAATATTGATAATAGAGTCTACTTACTAAAAATACTAATAATTAGGTATTCACTCTTTGTGTAGGTTATATTCTTTACATTATGTAATTTTCTCTGTTTATTTCTTTGTTGTCCAATAAGTGTTTTGCCCTTTTTTTTTTTTTTTTGGCTCCTATTTTCTCAGACCTTTGAGAAATACTATTGGAGATAACTACTTCAAACTTTTCTTTAGAAGAATGATATTTTATTGAGATGACCTTTTTAATTTTAAAAAGTATACTGATGATTTTTCTTTAAAAAATTAAGATATGCAAAAATAATAGTTACCTCTGAAATAACCTCATTAACTCTTCGAATCCGCTGATAATGCGGAATAGTCCTGTCCATTCGTACCTGTGATTGAAAAATTAAGTGTTCCTTTACTGTTAATGTTCCAATAAATTTATCGTCTTGTTGTACATATGCCAACCGTGATGCTAGAATATTAGAATTAACTATTTTTCCGTTTATTGACACATTTCCAGTGACCATAACATCAGTATTGTAACGTAACGTTAGAACGTTTAACAAAGTTGTTTTTCCAGCTCCAGAAGGACCCATTATTACCAGTAGCTCTCCAGGGTAAGCAATTCCTGACACTATGGCACAGTATATTTTAAAATGAGATTTAAGTGATACAGCAACAAAAAAATCAAGTCTTTTTCTCCTGAATTCATATATAAAGAAAATAATTTATCTTTCTCACATTTTTTATAAATACTATATCGTTATGTGTATAAGATTATTAAAAAAACTTAAGCTAGGAAATAGTATAAAAAGTAATAGGGGCATTTTTAAAAACGTTTGCATAAGTGTCTCCAGTCATTTAAGGAAATATGCATAAAATCAAGCGTGGTTAAAGTTGAACTTTTTTTTGCCTCAATGAGTTAATGAAATATAATCTTACGCTCGGAAAAAAAAAATCAGATTTCACAAATTATCTCAAATAATTGAATCACTTTAACTTTAAAAACAAAAATCGTGTTAAGAAACTAATGTTCGACGTATCAATGTTTTCGTTGAATCCTCCTTATATTCATCGACAACCCAACTTGGTGAGCCGGGTGAAGTGTGTTTTTCTTAACTTTAGTCTTACAGGCTACTCTATCATGAGAATTTACAACATAAACTGTATTCACAAAAGAACGTCAAATTTTTAAGAAACAATGAAAGGTAATCATATACTTAAGATCGTTGTAAACTAAAATTAAGTAATCGTAGGCGAAATCAAGATGCTTCGGGTCTCAGCTCTCAACTTTTTCAGCTATTTATACATTAAAATCAAAAATCAAATCAACTAATCAAAAAGGGAAAGAAAAACAAATGTAGCGCACGCACATAGCCCGTGCCACTGTGTGGACCGCAACATGAAAACGTTATCCACACGATCAAAAACCCACCAAACAAAAATTACTCCTAACAAAAAAAAACCCCTGAAGATGATCGAGAAAGCAGTTGGTAGGTCACCTCTCGGTTAAAGAAGCAGCCAGGGATTTCTACCTACTAATGAAATGATTTTACGAAGTGAGATCAACGGTTGTCAATTACTATTAACAAACATACTCAGCTGCCACCCATAAATAGAATTATGATTACAGGAGACATGTGACACCAAAAAAAGAAAACACCAGTAAACACCGGAAAATCTCCTCCAAGCAAAACCACTGCGCACCGAAAAACTTAGCACAAAAAAAAGGCATCATTCGCTACTGGTCACCGACGCAGGACCACCACTTGGTTGAATAAATTAAGCAACAAGGGATAGTCTCTGTCTTTTGTCTAAACTTATCAACAAATGTTGATAAGAGAACGATACCAGAATGTGAAGAAAACACTTAGTATTGTTATTTAGCTGTGCAGCAATATATTAACGACGTTAGCTTTATCTAAAGATCCCTGGCAGCCAGCAAGAAACACTGGAGCAGTACTCACGTTGCATGGACCCTTCGTATCAATGCCTTGCATCATCCCCTTGGAAGCGACTAATTCGAACTGCTTACCTGATCTTTTCTTTTTGAGCTCGTCTTCAGCAAAGCCCTACTCTTGGACCACCACTAAAAATTAAACACTAAGCACCACCGTACCTAATGCACGTTCCTTACGAACTCAATTCTTGCGCATTCCCCACGCTAATTTATCCCCCAACCCTCTCGTGCGCACACACACATAAGCCCCCCCCCCCGGCATCTGTACTCTCACTGTATAGTCAGCTATATCTTAAAGTTCCCTTGACGAAGCTTTCAAAAACTTGGTTTTTTGTAGTTACGAATACCTAGTAGCACTTTCATTTTTTATTTAAAAGTGAAGCTTTTTTATGAAACATTCGGGATCTCAGGTTGTGAAGTGACTTTCTGGAAATTGACACAATTTTGAGACCAGGTCACGTGATCTCTTTCTCCTACCTCTAGTAGCTGTCAATTGTACCTATACGTATACAGTAGAGTGCTGCTGCTGCTGGCTGCCGAGCAGGTAGCCAAGCTAGAATTTATATGATATATATNTTTAAAACTGACACAATTTTGCGACATGATCGTGTAGTCCCTCTCTCTTATCTCCAGTGGCTGTGAATTGTACCTATACATGTGCAGTACAGTATTGCTGCTGCTACTGCTGGCTGGCGAGCAGCTCGCCGAGCTGTCTTCTATTATATATATATAATACACTTACCCTGATAATTCAGCCAACACGCGCACACATGTATACATATACAAGCAGCAACAGCTACTGCACCTAGTATTTATTCTTACTAGTAAGAAGTTTGTATCAATACAACAGTACCTGTATAATAGTAGGTGTTGCCATACATCATTTACTGAACCACGTAGGAGCAAACAGAGTTTGGCTCTGCTATACTTCTATTTTTACATACAGTGATTGCTCCTCACTATACATAAGGTAAATGTTACTATTTATGAAACGTGTCCCTATTTCTGGAACATGAAAATCATGCATATGTTATGCAACATATTTGATAAAACAATTGTTTACATATCATGACAAAATTGTACTTATTATGGTACCTAACTTTAATGAGCAATTGATACAGTTCCAATGAACAAATGGACATTAACATTTTTTCTGTTAAATATAATAGTATTATACAACTGAAAAAACTTTAATTGTTGTACTTTATATATGTTTTTAAAAAAGTTTTATTAATCGGAACATAATTCTGGAACAATAAATACAATGTTTGATAATTATGAACATTGTGGTCTTATAAATCTTTTTATAAACGAAATAATTTAACAATTAAATACCGTATTCAAATTCAAAGTAAAATTGGTGGATTTATAGGGCACCGCAGTAAAACCAAGATTCCTACCACGAAGTTTCCCAATAAAAAGAAACTAAAGAAACAAGTGTAGTTGAAATTAAGTAGGGACAGTAACTTCACTGATCGTCTGCTATACAGATTTTTCTCTGTGTATCTTCTATTAGCTATACACTTTTTTATTTTATTATTATTACTAACGTTGATCTAGTAACCAACGTATACTTGTATATTTAACGATAAATTGTTGGGTATTTATCCCAGAAGTATGTGTGCGTGTGCGCCTGTGAGTGGGTGAATATATGAGGCAATTTTACTTCTGTCAGGGATCCCGAGATCCCTCACGATTGGTTTTGATAAGATTTCATTACATTAAGACAATAAAGAAAATTAATAAATAAATTAAATGATTTTGGGCCTTCAGCCATGTCCATAATGAGTCCATCTAGTATAAAACCGTATATTCACATTAAAAAGTTAGTGACATAAGTCATGTTGAACATAATACGTGGAATAAAGATCAAAGGTTGCTACGTTTGTCCAAAAAATACTAGTAAGAAATACTTTCCGTATAAAAAGAAGAATGAAAGCTTATTAAAAATTCATCTTGAGAATAAAACTTTGAACATGGTGTCATGAGTCATAAAAACTATGAGTAATTTAGCGTATTTATTATAATTAATATCTAAAAATAAAAACTTATTTTATGATCACACGTATAACAAAATCTTACAAATCTTCAATGGAATCAAATTTAAGAAATAAATCATGGTCACCATACATACAACGTAATGTGTTAAAAGTGTAACGCAACTATATGTTTTCCACTATTAGTATTTATTAGTTAGTATTTCGTTTCTTTTAAAATTAATTCGAGAGTTTTCTCCTTAGCCTTATCTTAAAATGGATTCTACTTTATTTTTTGATACATCCTCATTGCCTAATTTTCCACCTTAATTTAACTTCTTGTTACATTTTCTGCCGTTACCAACAACATTAAAAACCTTAGCCGTATTCCCAACCAACTCTCTCAAAATGAAACTTTTCTCATAAACTACCTTATGCATTTTAACTAATTGTTCAAATAAACCGGATTTGTTTTGAGTAGATCTCGTAGATCTCACTTTTATCGTTATCTGTTGTAAGAAGATTTCCTGGTAGTGACGCTTTGCCACCCTTTTTGTTGAGAAAGTGCAGCAAGTGAAAGTATCGTTTTTAACTAAGAATTCTAAAACACAATAAATCTCAGAAGTCCTTAAAGAGTTGACTTAGACTGATTAAATGTAAGTCATTTCTAGTGAACGTGACCTGGAGCCCGTAAGCGTACTTGAACACAAAGCACAACTTTGTGCTGGACAACTGCACAGCTTTACGTGACCAAACATAAGTCTCACTTAACTGTGGGGATCACAGTGAGAGATGAAATATAAAAGAGGCATACTACACATCTACAACATTTAAACTATCATGCCCAATGTTTTCTCTTATACGGAGTTTTTCCACTGATATAATTTCTTGCAGGCCTCACACCTGTAGCTCCACGCGTGAGCAAGTCCCATGGAAAACTCTACAGAGCTTGTTGAATGTCTGCTCATCTATAAATTGTGTTTACTGCCATTTATGTACTGAAAACATAATAAATTATTTCTGACTTATATTTAAAACCTTTGTTTTAAAGCCTTTATTTTACGAATCTTAGAGTGTTGTTTTTCTTACGGGTCAAAAAGCAAAAATGTAATTTATAAACCTTCTCTGCTTTTTTGTGAATAATGCTAATAGGTTACGTGAGGTAATTTTAGAAAGAACAAGTTGTTTTGACTAGTAATTATACAATACTATATGAAGCGTGAAAAAGGACACGCAGTCTCTAGCTACTAAGACAAAGAGAGAGAGCACTCTATCTGTTCTGATGCTACTCATCATCTACTTTTGCCTTTCTCCTGCACGCTGGAAAACATACGTGCCCACATCATTTTTGTTGACAAGTGTAAGCAGGAAAGTTTTAAGTTTGAGCTCTTCTCCAAACTCACTGGCTTTCTTCTACTTAGCCGTCTCTTGTTCTAGACCCGTCTCCAAGATTTCTAACACATATGCCTGTATGAACAAAAGTACCACTTATCAGTATCGCCTGTCCCTGCTGCCTCTGACATTCTCAGGTGGTGTGGAGAGCGATGCCTTCGCCGTTGTCTCTTCACCTACCTTGGCTTTTTTCACCTCTTCTGTGGAGGTCGTCACCATATATTTAGTCCACTCCTCGGCTGAAGCTGGTATTTTATTCGCCCCATCAAGACCGAATCTCATACAAAAATTTGCGTGGTACAGTGT